GCCTGAAAACATCTCCCTTCCGCCAGCACTCGGGGTCCCGCGACCAGGCACCCCTTCCTTCCTTCCTGCTCCCCAGGCTCCTGCCTCCTGGTCCCCATCCCCGGTCGCCCACCCCCCGCTCTGTCCGTCCGTCCCGTGCTGAGAGGGGAGCCTGGTGGTACCTGTGCCTTCGTTAGCGTCCAGCCGCCCTGACTTGCCTGTCTTGTTCGCAGCATCCTGGCCGCCCCGGCCACCGCAGAGCTGGAGCCCTTGGCCGACGGACAGGTGTCCCAGACGGACGAGGTAACGTGGTGGTGTGGGGAGCCGCCACGGCCATGGCATACTCAGCCCCGGGCGCCTTATGTGCCGCCAGCTCAGCCTGGTTCAGTGACCCTGAGTGGGGGGGTGAAAGGATTGAGAAAAGACAGACAAGAGATTTTTTTTTAGCTGGGTCTCGGTGGGACGCTGCTCCCTGATGAGGAGACAGCGCCAGCGCCCACAAGCCGTGTCTTTATTTTATAGCAGATGCCACGAGGCAAAGTAGGGGCGTGATCACGTTGTTTACAGCATTCTCGTGAGTTCCAACCTCACTCAACTACATGCACCCGAACTCTAGCACAAGGCATGTGGGGCCACGTGTTTGGGCCATAGGTTCAAGCTTACAACCATAATTGTGCTGGGTGGGCCCTGCCCTCCAGCTGGGACTTGCACGTGGCAGTGAGAGGACCCTGTCCTTTCATGAGTCCGAGGCTTGAACCTGGCCAAACACTGTAGCCGCGCCCCACATGGTGGCTCTGTCCCCGCAGTTCTGCCGTCTCCCTGTGCCGGGCGTGTGTGTCCTGGCTCCGTCGCGGCCCCTTCCTGCCCGGGACACCGGGCTCCTTTGCTGGGGTTCTGGCCTGGGAGCCCGGGCGGCGGTGGCCACTGCTGGCCTTTGACATTTGGACTCGGCCGTCCGGAGGTTGGGAGCAGGGGTGACGCGAGGGGAGTGGGCAGGGAGGAGTGGACGGCGGGGGGTGTCTGCACGCCTGTGGGTGACCTCACAGAAGACTGTCGCCCCTCCATCCCGGCTGCCTTTCGTGACCCGGCCGGGGGGTCCCAGGCTCTGGTTTGCGCTGCAGCAGGCGCTGAGGGCGGGGCCGAGCCTGCGTCACATCCGGGATTGTTGACGTCCTGCTGCGGCCCCTGGGGGCACAGGGACACCTGTTCCTCTCCTGGGAGCGGGAGAGGGTTGGCCTCGCACTCGGGTCTGTGACTCGCCGGGTCCGTTGCCGAGTGGCGTGAGGAAGGGGTCCCAGCGTCACTTGCTGCAGAGGCTGCTCTGTCTCCCGCTGCCTCGTCGCGGCGACGTTGTGATCAGCTGACGGCAACGGCGGGTTTGCTCTGGCTTCTGTCCTGGCCATGTGCGCGTCTGCATCCACGCCGGTCCCACCCGGTCTCCACGGCTGTGGCTCTTGTCGTTGGCACGTGTGGAAATGGGGGCGTGCGAGGTCTCCGCCTGGTTCTTTGTCAAGATAATTTTGGGAATTCTGGGTCCGTAGCATTTCCACGTGGAGTTTGGGATCAGCTTGTCTGTTTCTGCCAGAGAGCGAGCCCAGCGTGGACTTGCCTGGCGCGCGCGTCGACCGTAGGTCATTCCCGTCCCGACGTGTTCGTCTCCTGGCCGTGTAGTGAGATCTGGTTCATCTTTCAGTGACACTTTGCAGGTTTCAGGTGTGACCGTGCGACTGTTTTGTCCAGTTCACTTGTTAAGTAGTTCTTCTGGGTCCTGTTGAAAATGGAACTGTTTTCTGAATTTTGTTTCTGGGGGCTCCTTGCCAGTCTAGAAACACAATTTTTTCTTTTTTATTGATTTCCAAGAGGAAGGGAGAGGGAGAGAGATAGAAGCATCAAGGATGAGAAAGTCACGGACCGGCTGCCTCTGCACGCCCCACACTGGGGACCGAGCCCACAACCCGGGCCTGTGCCCTGACCTCCCAGGAATCGGACCATGACCTCCTGGTTCATAGGTTGACGCTCAACCGCTGAGCTGTGTGGGCCGGGCTACACGGTCGGTTTTCTCCACATTTCTGTTCTGTTCACCGATTTCCTTCCTCCCTCCACGCCCGCTGGTATCAGGAGGAGGGGAGGCGTGGGGGAC